GGCCAGCATCCTAAGCATAGCCAACCCGAAGGAATTGGGAAACTTCAGCTTCAACTAAAAGTACTGTAAATCAGAGACATGATTGCAGTCTGCGGCTTGATTGTTTCGGCGAGGCTTATGAGGTTTGTCCCTAACCCTAACCCTAACCCTAACCCTAACCCTAACCCTAACCCTAACCCTAACCCTAACCCTAACCCTAACCCTAACCCTAAGCGCTTAACCTTTTATTATAATACTTATAACCTTCGGCCACGGCCTTACTAATATTTTTAGCTATAGCGCTTAACCTTTCACTACGGTACTTATAACCTTCGGCTACGGCCCTATTACTACTTTTAGCTATAGCGCTTAACCTTCTACTACGGTACCTACGACCTTCGGCTACGGCCCCGCTACTCCCTTTGGCCGCGGCTAATTAGCTTTGGCTACCGCGCGACCTTCGGCCGCGCCGCGCATTAGGCCAAGGGCATTTTTCGTATAAATATTAGCTAGATTGTTCTTATGCGTTGGGTCTAGTGTGCGCAGGCCACGGAGGCGATGAGCTATCGACAACACTACATTGAGACACGCCCACCAACTGGCATCTTCGGGGTTAGAGGTCGAGTACTTGAGGTGGAACTCTCTTAAGAAGTCATCTTCGTTGAAAAGCGGAAGAAACCTGTTATAGTTGTTGAAGGTTTCCTTGACCAGCTCCATGGCGACTGCCTTTATGGGAAGCTGCCCGCGCCCTTGTAGGGAGACTGGTCGTGACCCTGAGGAAAGATAAGGCCATGGGCTGCCAGCTATAGGGTCAATTACAAAACCACGGACCGCTGAAAAATCGAGTTGGTCGTGGTCGTGTGCGCACAATGCAACGTCGAGATCGACTCCTGGACTACCCGTATGTTCTGGTGGCGGAACATGTGACTCATCCATCGGGGTCCATGAATTACTTTCTTTCGTGAGTGTGATCAGTGCCGCTATTTTGGGTGATACTGCGGGATTCGTTGTCTCTTCGCGCAAATCTTTGCCTGACATAGTAGACTTTTCTCCTTGAAAATTCATGTTCTCTAGCGCTGAGAGCCTTTCTTCAAGCTGTGCGATGTATTTGAAGCTGGGCAACGTTTAATAGATACAACCTCCATGGAGTAGAGTAACAGACTAACCCAGCTGGTCTGCGAGGCTTCCTCTTCATTGCAATCTGCGTGAAGTGGCACCTTGTGTGGTATTTGGTGCACTGAGCGCACCCTTGAGTGGTAGGTTCACAACGGATCTTCTTCTTGCGGCACATGTCACAAGCCTTATATTGTAATGTTAAGAGAGAGGATATGATGTTGATTCCTCGGGTAAACTCACGCGAACAGTGGCTCGCTGGCCCCCTCGCCCATGAGTTGGCTGGACCTGAGAACCCATTTGTGAATCCATGACCTGGTGTGCAATTGCCGTTTTCAATAGAGAGGCTGCGAGAAGAATTCTCGAAAGGCTTAGGTCTTAGCGCTTTACTTCTCAAAGGCAACTTCGAGAAACCCGGTGGAGCAGAACGTCCTAAGGTAAGAGGGAAAAATGTCATCACGTTTGATGTCATGACCAAACACCAGATTGATTATAAATCAAACTTTTTGAGAATTATTAGGCTTGGGCACAGCAAGATGAGCCGCTTATTAAGCCTGTACAACGGATTACTGGGCATTTATGCAGAGTTATCAGCCTAACGCGAACACCCCAAATATAATGAGGTACAGACTGCCAATCACGTCCACACCTCACATTGGTCGAACCATCCAAGTTGGGAACTGGGCTGCTAATCACATTCGAGAGATGGATGTTTCGGATGCTTCTATGAATTGCGGGACAGCCGCTTAACGCCAATGGCCTCATGTCGCCTGGGACTAACTTCATGGCACACGCACATTCTTGTTGATCAGTCTGCTTCGATACCACCCGATGTGCCGTCGGCCCAATATCGTTTGCTCTACCATGTCCAAGATCTAAGACAGGGAGATCAGAAAGGCACCCAAGCATTTGGTGACAGCGCTCAACAGCTCCTTGAACCCTCCGAGACGCTAATTTAAAATTGAAGAACTGTCGGCCACACAAAACGACTATGATGAAAAGCTTCTCTGTGATAGTTCCGGGGTGGGAATATACTTTTACGAATTGGCGCTCTACAAACATTGAAGGAGAAGTCTCTGAGCTTTCCGCCCTTTTGGGCTGAACCTGATGATCAAATAGCAACCGTGGGTCTTCGACTCGATGTGCGACCCAGGTAGAGGCATATAGTAACTCTTGTCGATTTCTTATCTAAGCTTAAACGCTAGGTTGTTCAAGCTTGTTCTATAAACCTCGCATGCATCTAGATTAGTAGTGGGCACTTGTCGGCTCGTGTGATTGCTTCAAGCTTTCCGCCCAAGTTTCTCGCCAAAGTTTCTGCTGACCAAAGTAAAAGGCGACTAGTGCGTCGTCATAAAAATTAATAAGTTCGCTTCGCCTCTCGTCGTTCCTATGCTCACGATGGAGGATCTCTTCGATAGCTAAACGTGTAAAACAGGGTCAGGCCTTCCAAGGGCAGAAACGAAAGGAGGCAACGGAAGCACTGGGGCGACTGATCCAGGCTATAAGCCCAGTTTGAGCACGGGAGTTCCGCACAATGGAGCAGAGACGGACCGTACAGGCCTGCTTTCCGATTGGATGATTCCTGGTATAACACATGAACCTCGGAATGATGAGAATAGCCACCTTTCCTTTCGCCAAGCCCATTTGTGGGTTCTTTGGACGAATTTATGGATTCTTGCACTGAGTTTCTTACTTTGCCCGAACCATCTACAGATTGGATAGATAACTTGGATGGCTTTGCACCAACACCTAGTCTTTCTTGCGAGCCTTCTGATCCCGACCCAGAAGTGCTTAACAAAAGATTGACATCACTTACAGGAGAAGCAGCATAGTCGTGGAACATCCAATTCGTTCTTCATACGGACAGGCCTGCCGGTGGCGGCATCAGCGGGACAAATGAGCATAAGGTAGATAATGTCCAATCGCAAACAGACAACGAGGAGGATGAATTCATTGTGGGACACTCTCTTGAGCCAGTCTCCTTTCCTGGGAAATCTCAAACCCCGCACTCGCTGCCCGCGGTGCCCGAGGGTGTGGATGTCACTATGCAGCAGCGAAAGATGCCATCAGCACTTGTTCTGAAAGAAAAACAGACGTTCACTGTTGATTGGATTAATTCATCATTCAGGATATTCCCACGCAGTTTTCAGGTACATTTGTCATCGAGCCACTGTAGCAAAAACATATTTCTTCCCCCCCAGGCTAAGTATGCATAGTTCGTGGATATGTGTAACGGCCTCTAGTTGTGTATTCACTTGGCAACGCCGTTAGAATATTCTCTGGCTTCTTATCAAGGTACCCTGACGAACATACTTACTTTTGAGTGGGACACAGCCCCCCGCCCCAGCAGTAGCCGATTGTCGAGTCCGATGCATTTGCTAATACCAGATGACGCGGTGGTTAACCGGGTTCAACTCTCAAACCGTGGTATTTTAGTTCTAAATCCGTTCAAGTTATGTTACGTATAATACTATGCATGACCTCGTTTCCACTTCCAAGTACATCGCGCTATTGTATACGTAGGGCACTCGGGCGGCCAGGTGGATATACTCCTAGACAAGATGCATTAGCATGCGGCGCAGAGGCTCTTCATAGCGTTACATCGCTCCTGACGGATATGCACCAAGGACCGTGCCGACGATGATTTTGCCATCGTTCATCCGCAGAAAGCCGATGAATGCAGTCAGCCTCGGCAACCCTAATTAGAGACGACTATGCATAATAGATATCAGAGCCTAGTGCTACATAGGGAAAGAGAGAGGACTATAATGACTTTGAATTCAATTAGCCTAAATGATTTGAGGAAAGCGTGGGCTTCTCTCCACTGAGAGGATTTTTTGAGTGCATGAATCCGAGACGTACGCCGCAATACGATCCTGCGCCAAGGGCCGCGCCCACGATGGCTCAACGTTTGTCTTTCTCTGCCAAGAGACGATGAACGCAATCAGCCTTAGTAACCCGGGCAAAGGAACCCATTGCAACATCGTGCTTATGGTATTGTAACATTGTTTACAGTATTGCAACATTGTGCTTATGGTATTGCAACATCATGCCTCATCCTACGCGTTCAAAGAAGGCTGGTACACACATCTACTCTCGCTTTCAACCCCTGAAGCCTCGGAAACAATGAATTACACGAGGATCTAACAAAGTAGAGTAGTGGGAGACTAGACTGAATGGGAAGACGAGACGCGGTGACGAGATGTTAAGAACTCTGTGATAAAAGTCTTCCTGAAATGTATAAAAGGCTCGATCCTATCTCTCTCTGGAAGCTTTTGAACCCATTCCCATTCGCCTCAATATCTTTAGCCTCCCAGCAAAGAAACCAGTCTTCCATCAAGCAACCTGCACAGTTTCACTCTGGAGATCGTTTCTCCGTCTCTACCAAGCAAAATGAAGTTCTTCGCCGCCATCAGCCTCGTCTCGGGCCTCTTCGCTACCGCCGCCTCGGCCATTGACCTGCACCTCGAGTTTGCGGGCGGTTGCAGCACCAGCGGCGGCGGGTACATCTGCCGAGGCTGGAACCCCAACACTTGCTGCAGCGTCAATGCGGGTACCTATTTCGCCAGCGGCTCGTTCCGGGCCATCCCGCGCAATTGGAACATCCAGGCGCGTGGCCACGCCGGTCCTAATTGCGGCTCCATCCGCGAGCAGCAGGACAGCGCCGGCCGCGACTATGTCTGCCTAGGAAATGGGCCCTTTGGCGGGCTGGGCTACGGTTTCAATAACAGAAAGATGATCCGCGGTGCGACCCTAGACGCTCGCAATGGCGAGGAGACTGAGGGTTGCGCCCAGCCCAACGTCCTGTACCTCGCCGACGGCACCCAGTACAACTACACCGCCATTGTCGAGACTGGCCAGGCCACCGAGGAGCTTGTTTCGCTTGTCGAGGCCGGCGCATCGGCCGACGACATCCCTAGCTTTGAAACCTTTAAGCTCGACGAAAAGCTCGTCCTGTAAACGACAGGCGTCACTTAAGGACGCGGCCCGCCATCATTCCGTATTCAAGCCTTATGGAGAGTGATCGAGCTGTTGTTCAGGTTGTGATGCGGCCTAGTGCTTAGGATTCAGCCGCTTCATACATCTCTTGTCCTGTAATCTGACCATTTCTGTTACGGGGTAGCACTTCTCTCCTTCTTCATGTGCTCAGCTCGTCCGAGCATATCGATACACTCTTTTTGAAAATTGCGGTAGATTTACCTTCGGTACCTAAGTAATTTAGTCAAAGACAAAACCTTCATTACTGCGAGCCATGTACTCATCGGCCATTGCGCCCTATGATTACTTTCTCCGGTCTCGTTGTCGGGCCAAGTGTAACTGCCGTATCTATAAGACGTCCCATGTGCTTATCCCATTAAGTGCTACTAAACTATATCATAAGTCAACCTCACTCGCTGTCATACCCAGGCTATGTGATGGTAAGAGCCTACTAGGAAGAGCAAAATGAAACAGGGATAACATCCGTGGCTCAGTACTCCGTAAATTCAGAATAATTAGAGGGACGTGGTTTCATAAGGGGCTTAACGAATGTAGAGTTTCTAGTTACTTAACCGCTTGTTCCCTATTGGTTTATCAAGAGAGTATCAGCGCTTACAACCCGCATTGGGCGGAATAGCTTTTCTTGGCGCAAGTTCTCATTTGCTGAGAATACGAGAACCTGACACATACGTACATCTAGCCAAACCAGGGAGCAGGACACATGCTGCTGCGGATAGAATCAGGATTTCAAAATCCTATAACCCGCGAAGATGGGCGGCCCAACCAGCCCACCCACTCGCCTTAGTCTCGCAACCTAAGGGCCCCGGGTGATCTGACTGTGCCCAAACGATAGAGAGGCGGCTACTCGGGTCCTTCCACTCCTTAGCGAGGTAATCTCGCGGCTTATGCCCTCTACTTAACTGATTCGAACGTTATAGTTCTTTTATTCGGGACCCGAACATGATGCTTGGCCTATAGATTCGGATCCGAAGAGAGAGGCCCGCGTGTCCTCTACTTGGCAACGCTTACAAAGAAGACGACTGTCTATAAGGCATATTGAACGGACAATACTACAGATTACGTATTAAAAAGCTTATAGCTGACTCTGGAAAGCCTATGACAATGGTGATAATAGAGATCGTAGGTTTAAGGCCAGGCGCAGTTGATGCTGACGCAATCCTATTCCAAAGGACTTGGGCTTTAATTATGCCATTGGCTAAACTATGACTGCAATTTTGCTATTTCCCGTTATAGTCCTATTCCCATATAGGCCAGCGACCTTGAGCGGAGGTTGATGAGCAGACAAGGGCATACTACGTGATTCCGACCCAAGAGCGCGTTTCGGAATTCAATTCCTCTATTCTAAGGAAACATTGGGGCCCAAGAGGGGCATTCATAAGAGCGTCGATGGACGAGGACCAAAAAGTTGCTCTATGCTCCTCCCGATATTGGAGCCTCTACATGAGGAATGAATTTGCCGATAGTTCAAAAACCTTCTTCGTTCTCCTTGCCACGCATTCCTAGAGGAGATCTCGCGCTGTAGAATTATATAGATGATGTACTGGGCTGTCTCATTTGAAGAGAGGAGCGATATAGCATAGGTGGGATATGCCACCAGAAGATACTAGCGGCTTCTTTGATCTGGACCTTTTCGCAAGGGCTCTTAAAGCATAGCATTTTAACCCCACTGTCGTTCCCTTGTAAGAACACGCTGAGCTTCTCGCCCGTAATCTATTCAGGCTCGATTCGATTGAAGATTCTTAATCCAATACTATGTTATCGCACAGCATCTTACCTACAGGTCATGAATCATACATAATCCAAAGGAGGTCGGTCGGTTAGCACGAGAACATCAGACGTAGACCACCCCTCAATATTGCTACCGGAAATGGCCGACCTTTTGCCTAATAATCCATCATACGAGGTAAGACCCATTTTTATCTAGACACACTATTCACTATTTGCCGGCTCCTCCTTATAGGCCTTTCCTTGATATAGCTTCAAACGCAAAGCGCCTGCCAGTATAGTTCAAAAGAACAAGATAACTCGGTAGACAAGATAAGTAAGTATTTTAACTAGTATCCTCAACTTTAGGCCCATGATCTAGGAACTTATAGATGAAGCGCTTGTTATATCGAGGGAAACGCTATTAAGGTCTTATTAATAAAAAGAGCGATAGTAAATAAGTATAAACGTAGTATTTTTTTATTCAATCACATTTACAACTAAACAATTACCTCTGGTATACTTAAATTGAAACGTATTAATTAAAAAGCTTTAAAGTAGATATTTTATTTTGATTCAAAAGTTCTTTGTTCTCATTTTTAAACTTTAGCATCCATAGTTACAAACTCCTTGAACTTCCTTTCTTATATAGCAATAAGCTAGCAGGCTATCATTGAAACACTGTCATGCCTTTATTAATACCCGCTCTTAGTACACTACCACTAACTAAGGCGTTTAATCTTGTCCCCAAGCTGACTGGAATAAAGACCCAACAGTAGCTGTCTCTATCTCGGGAAACCTCTGGTTGAGTGGGTTATCAGGCTTGAGATTACACTTGCCCGATTCCCATATAATGCCAAAGAAAGCCAGAAGCCCTTGTAGTTGGTCTTTAGGGAAATGAGGGTAGTAAGCCTTGTGTGCCGGAAGTTCACAGACTTCCCCGGCTTGCAAATTCCCCATCGAGTCGTGCGTAACGCTGAACTTGGCTCCCTTGGTCTTTTCTGCCAAAGCCACGACCTCGGTCAGAGTCAACCTATCCCCAATGACATACATCTCCTTCTCCCAGTGATCCAGACCCAGAGCTTTGACGACAAACTTTGCAATGTCGAAGCTGTACGCCAAAACAACAGGAACTGACCCAGAGCCTGGAACGGTAGCCTTGTTGTGCATCATGTCGACCAAAACCACTAGAGGCGTCATATGCGACTTTCCGCGAGGCATAACGAAGTAGTCGGAGAGAAATCCATTGAGGAAGCAGGTCCATTCGAGCGTGGAACCCTCGAGAGCTTGCATGGTAAGTACTTTGCCTTCTGCAGCTAGGAATACCTTCGACTCCCTGAACAGAACAAGTCAGCGAGGTTTCATCTTGGGTTAAGTATCCGTACTCTGGAGTATAAGTAATCCCCCACACATTTGCGATATATCGCCTCGTCACGACCGACTTGCTTGCGGCTTGAATGAGATTAAGCTCAGACTCTATGCCAAGAGACGAAGTGAGCGTTGAGATAACGGTGCTGATTGAAAAAGTCTCTAGTGTACTACGGAGCTGGTTGATATCCGAGTAGTCGACGGAGGTGATACGGGCTCCAATTTCAGCTTCTTTCTCGGGGTTGGCCTGCGGTAGACAGCATAAATATCCTCGAAATACAGATACAGATGCAGGGGACGGAAAGACTACTCACTGTTCTGGCGAGAATCACTACGTTGTGAATTCCGTCACGGACAATGGTCTCCACGATAGTGCGGCCCATAGCGCCTGTCCCTCCAAAACCAGGCAGTCTGTTCATGGTCCCCGAAGTTGCTGACGGTACGACGCTCATGGTCGGCACCCAGTTTCCATACCCAGAGCAAGGCCGCGAAGGTTGGCAAACGTTTGCTGCCAAACCAGAGTCATTAGCTGCACTGCTCCACAATGACTACGATCAATGGCACAACACGGCAAGACAGATCCTGAATCAGTTATGCAGCGTTCCAAATCGACTTCTGAGTTGGTCGTTTGACGAAATGCCAAACTTGCCTACTTGGTCGTCATTGTCCGGAAATGTCATCATCATCGGGGATGCCGCTCACGCTATGCCAGCATCTTCCGAGCAAGGTGTCAATCAGGCCTTGGAAGATGCTTATTCTCTGTCGAGGCTTATCGCTGTAGATTCGACAAGGGAAAATTGGCCACTCAGCCTTGAGACATGGCAATCTTGGCGACAGACAAAAATTGACCGCGTACTTCCAGACAGATATCGACCGCGTCAGCTGATATGGAACCGACACTGCTAGGTCCGACGCGGTGGCTATTTAACTTGGACATAGAGAGCTTAGACGCAAGATTGGCAGCAATCTAGGATTAAGATCTTTTTTTGTCGATTCAAGAAATCGATTCTACGGGAAGATTTCCAGGCACCTTTCGAAGAACAAGGCTTCATGTGTCAAAGTTGCTCCCGTTATTATCCTAGAACTTAACCATCTGGACTCAAAGATTATAGACTTGAAGCAAGAATGCAGTAGGGGCTTCGATCTTTCCATCTTCCAGCCCCTGAGGCATATCTCTGTAGCGACGTGCGTACGATGCAGAATCTTGCTTACTCTGTCTAAGGTCTTTGTGGGATACGCGTGCAGGGTTAGAAAGGGGGATGACTTTAAGCAGTCCTGTATCTCCTTGGCCACGAGACAGCTAACTTGCAACTTGATGCGGTCTAGTACGACTGTACAATCCTTGAGTACCTACGGAGGTACCCTTACATAACATAAAGCACGAAGTAAGATTGCGAAAACTTCATTGCATAGACATAATAAGTTCTTGGAATAACTACCGTCATAGTAAGAGAATACTAAGTCTTCCAGAGCATGTCCACTCAGTCCCGCCTCCGTGTTACCGAGTTAACCTTAGTGAACATACTAAATCTATCTATGTCGTGTTTAGTCTTTCTCACCTTCCTCTTTTCTATCCTTTCTCGTTTATCTGATTGGCCAACCCCTATGTTGCTGACAGCGGCACAGCGAAACGTAGGTACTTGGCAAATGTGACCATGCCGACCAACATGCATGAACAATCTTATGAAAGAGGGGTAGGCCGTCGAACAGTCGAGAGTCATAAAAGACTCCTTACCGCGCCTAGTAAGTAGACCGATACAGCATCCTTTTCCTCGGAAATTCGTCCTCTCTAACGAGAAAAAAGCACAACGCTTTGACCTCAGCCTGTATCTGGACATCGGCAAACGGCCCAGCATGTCAGCAGCACATGTAGCGCCCACCGCAATGAGCTCGCAGTTTCCCAATGAGTCGCCAATCATTGTTGATGAACAGGTAAGTATCAAGGAACCGGTCATGTGGACTTTGGAGTTGGTGAGCTATGATTTCTCCAGCACGATGAAGACGCAACATCAGATGTCACCAGCGTTAGTCTAAGCTTTTTGCGTCTCGGGGATGTCTTACTAAAAATACATTGATGTTCGTAGACCATAGCATCCTCATCGACTAGCCTTGCAGACTCAATTTTCAATTTTCGTGTGGAGAATGGGCGCACATATCATCGATATAAAGATGGAAGTAAGTTCCTTCTGATGTTCTTTTCACGCCGCAAATTACCTTGTCTACTGATATGAAGCATCTCTGGTCTGTAAAGAATACTCCTATCCCAATGATGAGAGGGAAAGTGACAGACTGTGTAGGTCAGCTTCATGAGCTCCAGCTTCCTGGAGCCCAATGTCGCTCATGAATCCTGCAGACCTTCAACATCACCAATTCCTCCTTTCTGTCGATGAAAAAATTGGCCTCTCACCGCCGAACCAAGATGACTACTCCGCCAAGCGTGTTCTCGATATTGGTACTGGAACCGGGATTTGGGCAATTGAGTTCGGTGAGCTCAAGCCCGAAGCAGAGGTAGTGTACATCACTTCAAGTCAATGAATCCATCCACTGATGATGATACTAGGTCATTGGCATTGACTTGTCTCCCCCTTTGGCCGAGTAAAACTCTACATTCAAACACTATGACCTATGATTCCCTAAACTAGTCAAGAGTGCCGCCCAACGTAACATTTGAGGTGGATGACATCGAAGAACCGTGGACGTTCTCCTTGCCATTTGACTACATTCACAGTCGAATGATGACGTCTAGCATATCTGATTGGAGACGACTCCTTCGAAATGCTTTCGAGTTCGTATCTTAGTTTACCTGTTCGCCTCAGAACCCCTTTTACAGACTCTGTCCAAAACCAAAGTAATCTCACGCCCGGTGGCTACCTCGAGCTCCAGGAGATGGATCTCAAGCCTCAATCCGATGACGGTAGTCTGAAACCCGACGCTGCGGTTGTGCGGTGTTTTGCCCTCCTTGAGAAGGCGGCTACGGTACTTAACCGATCCTTTCAAGACATCCCGGATCTCGTCAACGTGATGCAAGAAATAGGTTTCGTCGACGTCTCAATCAAGAAGGTGATGTGGCCAGCAAATACGTGGGCCAAAGGGCAACACTATAAACTACTAGGGCAATTTGCCCACGAAAATTGTATGTCCGGGATTGAGGGTTGGACTATGACACCTTTGACACACGGCCTTGGCTGGAGTAAACAAGAAGTGGAGGTCTTTTTGATCGAGCTGCGAAAAGAATTTAAGGACCGACGCATTCATGCATACTGGCCTTGGCAAGTCACCTACATTACCTTACCCAATAGGAACATATCACACTGCTGACTGGATCACCGTATAGTTATGCACTATATGGAAGAAAACCTAAAGCCAGGTGATAGATCATGCTTACGTAGCTTGCGCGAAGTCTCGATGAAACGAACTGGACCAGGCCACCTGCTTCTTAGGGTTAGCATTTCACCTGGCATGTTAATCTATCGTAAGATGGCCACATTCTTGTTCACTTTAAGGGATATAGGAGTCTTTTTAAAATTAAACGAATGAATATTAACCTGCTTGCCTATGCCCCGGTCTGAGAAGTAGGACTCCCAGACCTATCGGTCGTCACAGATTGTGTACTGCCTTTGGAGGAACTTCCTCTATTCCACATTTCGAACTCCCTCGCTATGTCGTCCAGCCCTGTATCAACTGGAGACAGTGACAATTCCGTTGATGGGTCATCTGAGATCTTGCTGAACTTATCTCTTCTATAAGTCGGTTGGTATTCCTCGGAGGGTGTTGCATCCGTTGTTTTCTTTGGCTTTCTGCTAACCAAAAATCGTAGTAGTGGCCGAAGTGCAGGAAGGCTTGCACACAGAATGGCACACGAGACTTCAACTAAAGACCAATTGATGACGTCCACATTGTCCCAGGTAACATCAGATGTGAACGAAAGATGAACCAGAAATTTCAATCTGACCATACTAGTGACACATCCACTGAAGTACCGTCGAAATGGTCAGCGAGTTCTTTCCGTAAAGGAGCTGGCTACTTACAATGACCCTAGCCCAAATATGAGACTGAGCCAGAGTTTCTTCTTGGTACTGAGCTGAAGTCGAAGAAGCTCTGGAATGGGAAGAATAAGGATAGCAATGTCCTCAATGACGCTGAAGACTGCACCAGAGTAGCCAATTGCTACAATATTCATGCATTTTCTAGATGGATCGTCGAGATTCCAGGTTGAGGTGACTGGCGTGCATTCGAAAATGACAAGAAAGAGGAATATCGCCGCGTGCAGAATCAAGAACAGAATAAAGAGTTGGGTTGTAAGATAGAACCATCGAGAAGAGAAGAAGATGCGCGAGAAGAAAAGCAGAAGTGAGATCTTAGCCATAATCTGGGCCAAGATATAAAGTTGTTCGCCAATATAGAACATCTGAATGAGTCTTGTGCTTGCCCAAGGTTCGACATGCCAGTAGTGCAAGCCAAACCCTAGGCCGGTTCCCGCAATTTGGATGCCTGTTATTGCGGCGAGAAGGACCTGGTATTGGTTTGTTAGTATGCGATTCCCATACGTCGCTCAATCTTCATTCTTTATATTGCATACCGTTGCTGCAATGATCATCCAATCATCCCACCAAAGTCGGTGGTCAACCAGGTATCGTGAAATGCATCGAAGTCCGACAACAGTGAAGGCAATGATAGATAATGATATTGCCACTGCTCTTGCTTCTTCTCTTCTTGACGGCTTCGGGAAAGTCGCACAGAGGTCTGTCTCAACTTGAGCAGCACCTATTAAGACATAAATCATCATCGATTCCATTCAAGGGTGGCGTCGCGCATGGTCTTACGCTTTTGGTCCTCGAAAGAACATTTCAGACGAACACATGACGACAGGTCTGCCTGGAGTTCGATGTCTATACACAGACAATTGGCGATAGTAGAGACAGAGTCCAGCTTACAGCCCCCATGTTGGAGACCAGTAAGAAGGCAAGGAAGCTGCAAAGACGAATAGCATGTCAGTTTTGAAGTCCCGCAACTCTATCGTGCCCCGACATTTGAGCTACAAATACGAATTGAGACCAAGTTATGTGTACTCACCGCGCATGATGGAATCTGTGATACAAGGCTGGTGAGGGTGGTTTCCGCACCCCGTACGGACGAGAAGTATGGCGATAGCAAGAGCACAAGAAGGTAATGCTTCATCTGCCTCATGTTCGCCGAACCATTCCACGTGGAATGGAGAACGTTGCCAAACGTGGACCTGAAAAGTAAACGCAGATGGAGGAGAAAGGGCACAACGTGCCCACTCCCCAAGTGAAGAGGGCTTTTTTCTGTACATAAACAGTGGATGAAAATTGGGAGGATGCACTAACAACGGGTTATGGCGTATGGCGTCCCTCTGAAACGCCGTGCCGGCTGCTAGTGTCCAAGCATCTCTGCACTATTGAGTACTAAACTTGCGCCGTAAGACACCAGCTCTTGATGCCACTGCCAATTCCGTGTGATCTACCACCTCAGGAGAGGAAAAGGGGTTAATCATGCCGTGTGCCAGATGATATTGTCGTGTTCAACACGTTGCCGGTGCCAATGCAATCTACGGCAATTATGCCAAACGCGTCGCTTGCGCGCCTCTGTCGCCGTCTATATCCGGTTAGAGAGGACAGTCAAATTAGGCCGCCTTGGATATACCTACCTTCTGCAGGTAGAAGAGACCTGGGCTTTGAATAAAGGTCAGGGTCACATTGAGAGTCCAAATTAATATGGTGCCTTTGTCTGTTCAGCTTGGCTTAAGAATTTGGGCAAGGAGAAGTAATCATCAACACTGTCCTAGATAGCCTGCCAAGTTTACGTCGCAAATTCTGGGGGGCTTGCAGCGAAATAATCATACCCTCTTCTTTCGATCGTGACACCCTTTTCATCATCTCATTCTTCTCATTTAGTCCTCCCTCTGTGATAGTTCCTAGCCCAGGACACCAAGTCTTGCTTTAGTTTTTAAGAAAAACAACCACAATGCTCCTCTTGATGGCACTTGGAAATATGTAAAGTAGCGCAGGGCCATATTCTAGCTGATTTCATGTGTCTCTATCACTAATTCGCTCGAGAGGAAGAGGCAGGCCCTACTAAGAAGAGGTTCGCGTATGTGGACCGAGTTGTAAAGACTAAACTCTAGGTTTCCCTTGCTCTTCAACAGCTACTTTCATCGCTAACTCTTGAACATCGCCGCACAAGAAGGCAAAGTCTTTCGAGTAGGTAATCAGTGATATTCAAAGAGTCGTAGGCCATTTACGTTCCCCGAAAAGCTGGAAGATCCTGACTGGTATCATCCCAGTACTTGCTTTCGTTCGTAAATGTGATGAATGTCCTCTCGAACTATCTTCATCACCTGTGTACAAAACAAGTGAAAGCTTCTTTTCGTAATTACCATGAATGATTGATGATTGTATCAGATTTAATTATCTAATAAAGTTATTCCCCGTCCCTGATTCCAAGTTTAAGCCGGTAAAGTGATAAACCCTTTAGACATAACATCTTGGATTCCTTTGAGCCAGACATTTGCCATTTTGACATATCCTCCGTCATTAGGATGCCTCGTGTCGGCAAGATCGTCGAGGGTCGGAGCGTCTGCGCTGCGCATATCAACCATCGCGAACTTGGCGCCGGATTGCTGAAACTGTGTTGCCAAGGCTGCGTACTGTTCGTTGATTTTGACGCGACATGCATCTTGTTCGGGAACTTTGTTGGCAAGAATTGATGTAAGAATCACAGTAGCTCCTGGACTCTGTTGATAGATTTTGTTGATCATGGCTGTGACATTCGCTCCTGCATCTGGTACCTCTCCACCTTTGTTGCAATTGTTGGTGCCAGCGTCAACTAACACGAGGTTTGGTTTGAGCGTAGGTACAGCCTTGTCGGCAGAAGCGGCTATCTGGTCAATTTTGAAGCCACCCGTTGCCTCGACAGCATTGTCGGGGAAGTTTCCATTGGCTCTTGTGCCCACGTACGTAGCATTCATGCCTTTAGAGACAAGTAAGTCCTGCAGGTCTTTCCGATAGCTGTTTCCAGTTGAAGACCCGGTACCGAAGGTTACGGAGGCGCCCAGCGCCATTATACGTAGTGGTACGGTCGGCCCTGGCTCTTGTCGTGGAGTATTTGGAGCCGCCATCGCGCCCACGACGCATATTATAACAAGTAAAGGGCAGCGCATCTCGAATTAGTTGGGATATGTGGACACCACGCTTAAGCAAATGAGATCGGGAGCTAAAGGCGACAACATTTGAGTTTAGATGCCAGGGACGTGTCTCTTATACCTGAAAGTTCTTTGAGTGAAAACTCAGGGTTCGGACGCTCTTGCGCCTAAAGGTATCATTCGAGCTGATGTCTGATACTCGCACGGAACCGGAAGCCGTTTCACTCCCGGCTGGCCTGCAACACAGACTTTCCGGCTGCAGCCTGCATCCCTACATCTCTTACCATTCTCCGTGTTTATGAATTCATTTCAACATTACAACAACATGCATCGCCTCGTTATTTACTAGCGGTAATAGCACTCATGAGTGACTCGTGGTCTTGATGCCTAAGACTTCCTATATGGCCAGCTTGATGCCTCGGCGACGAGATGACTAAATAAACTGAAGTCGCTAGTCGCAATGAAATGGAGGGTGGCAGGAGTTTTATGACCTTGATATTGGGCATTCAAGACTTCAAGACGTCTTAAATTATGGGCTTTCGCATGTTCAGAAGAACAAATGTTCCAGCAGGGATGAAGCCATTCCAATGCGAAGCAAGCCTCAAACAAGCTTCCATGCTCCGGCTAAAAACACGATTGGTTACAACGGTCCAAGCTCGTCTAGGATGATTCGTCTGTCTAATGATAGGGAAATATTGAGACGAAGATCAGATGGCAGCCTTGGCATTCGTAATAGCTTGAAGCTGGGTGGCTAGGCCGTTTTATTTAATAAAAAAAGAATAAGAGAACAAAAAGATTTGCTTAATTACTTCCTTATGTACTTTGGGGTTAGCCGTCTTATTGACCCCTGCTATACCCGGACCTAAGCGGCATCACCAATTACCTCCAGTCCATCCTCTTTTGGCTTCGAGAAAACTATAAGCTTTAGGAGTCAATCTCAAGATTCAACAGTGCAGTATTGCCGACGATCTTAAACGAAAGCTGCCAACAATAGGTTGGCATATGCCGATATCGCAGACAACAATCCGAATCAGAAGCCGCAAAGACAAGGGCCATCCGCGGTCGGGGCCCAATGCTGCGTAGTAAGCCGAAATGTGACCCTCAAGCGCTAGCGGTGGCTTTGCGGCAATCCCACCAAGGGCCAAATCCCGAAGGCGCGTCACGAATTCTGTCTATGTACACTGTCACGCTTGAGCTGCTGCTGCTGCTGCTGCTTGTAGCTTCGCCCTTGTTTGGTTAGTAGCTATCTGGTACGATCATAATATTACTCAAAGTAATCCCCAATGGCATGGTGGAGGACATGTGCCACTTTCCAGGACTCCACAGAATGTCAAGGTGGGAAAAGTTGCGCCATTTCGGCTTGGATTATCGTATGGCTGGGTCCAATGTCACCAGACGCAAAAGCTGGCAAATCCCCGGAGAAACATGTCCACTTATCCACCGGTAAGACCCCAAACCCTGGCTTTAAGCTTGGTTTGTGTAGTAGCGGGCAGTCGCCGATGCGGAGAGCGCGGGGTAGACCGGAGCAGCCCCGGTCACCCCGCCGGTGGTCTTCCGGCTTGACCATTGGCTCACCACCGTGCTGGTTAACTTATTGTTACCTACACCAGCACGATCACACACACAAAGTTGGCTGATGATGACCGCTATTAGTTACCGGGTAAAGTCGAGTCATTAATCCACTCTCTGCAGGTGCCCATGAATAGGACCGATTGACCGTTGCCCATCTCGGGCTCTGCTTCACCGGCGATGACGTTTTCAATGCAATACTCCTGGTCGGTAATCAGCGATTGACGACCATCATCTTGTCTCGGTCTTTGTTTGATTTGCAGTCGACATATTAAAGTTCCTCCAAACTACTGCGTCGTCAATTTCTCGTGGCATTTCACCGGTGCCTTTTGTGATTGCCCTTCGAGATCTCAACGTGGCAAGGTCGCATCGCATCCATTGAGAACATGAAGATCGCAGGGTTCTTGCTTGTTGTTGCGCTTGTCAGCTCTTCGGCCGCGGCGAAGTCAAATAGCACCGCGCCATCTGAGGTGCCATACTACGGAAGAAGTCCGCCAGTGTACCCATCTCGTAGGTCTTCGTAACCATTAGCTAAATTCAGACTTGTCTAACATGAAGCAGCCATTGGTAATGGCTCAAGCAATTCTGGTTGGGCCGCTGCCTATCGCCATGCCAGAGCATTGGTCTCCCAACTCACGGTCGAAGAGAAGGCGAATATCACTCGAGGGTGGACAGGGACATGCGTAGGGAATTCCGGCGAAGTTCCGAGACTCGGAATCCCGGCACTGTGCTTTGCTGATGCACCAGACGGAGTCCGCGGTCAGGAATTCGTTTCCGCATTCCCGGCCGGAATCCACGTTGCTGCTACCTTTGACAAAGCCCTGTTATACAAGTATGGCAAGGCACTGGGCGACGAGTACTACGGAAAAGGTATCAACGTCGCTTTAGGGCCGGCTGCTGGCCCTCTCGGGAGGGTTGCTCGTGGTGGGCGCAACTGGGAGGGACTGTCAAGTGACCCTTACCTTGCAGGCGTTGGCATGGGCGCAATTACGCGCGGCATCCAGAATGCCGGCGTTATCGCCACTGCCAAACATTGGCTCTTGAATGAGCAAGAGTATCGGCGTCGGGTATCCGACCTGGGAGAGGCGATCAGTTCAAACGTAGACGACAGAGCACTACACGAACTCTACGTTTGGCCCTTCATGAATTCTCTCAAGGAGGGTGCTGCCTCGGTCATGTGCTCGTACCAGAGATCCAATCACTCTTACGGCTGCCAGAACTCTAAACTCTTGAACGGCATATTGAAGACCGAGCTCGGCTTCGAAGGTTTTGTTGTTAGCGATTGGGAAGGCCAAATGGGCGGTGTTGCCTCAGCCAACGCCGGGTTGGACTTGGTGATGCCGGACGAGGGGTTCTGGGGGGACAAGCTGATCGAGGCTGTCAACAATGGTTCTGTAACCGAAGATCGACTATCCGACATGGCCACGAGGATCCTCGCTGGTTATCACTTCCTTCATCAAGAGCATGCCTTCCCTGCTCCAGCAGTGCACTCGAATCTGCAAAAGGCTTACCCAGTCGATGTTCAGGATGATCACGCTTCTTTGATCCGTCAAATCGGAGCAGCCGGCACAGTCTTGGTAAAGAACACCAATCATACGCTTCCGCTCAAGAATCCCAAGTTCCTGTCTATCTATGGTTACGACGCAACGGTCAAGGCGATCCCTTGGGAGAACCCAAGTCGCTATGGCGGCGGTTACGAAGTCAACTTCGGCTGGGAAACATTCAATGGGACACTGATCACCGGTGGTGGCTCTGGCGGCAGTACTCCCCCATATGTGGTCTCACCATTCCAGGCGATCCAAGAGCGAATTTCCAAGAATCGAGGCATCCTACGATGGAACTTCTACTCTGAAAACCCCTCTCCACCCTACGTCAACTCTGAAGCCTGCCTTGTTTTTATCAACGCGTATGCCTCTGAGAGCTTTGATCGCCTGAGCCTCACGGATGAATTCAGCGACAACCTTGTGCAGAACGTAGCCGCAAACTGTTCAAATACTGTAGTCGTGATTCACTCGGCCGGTAAGAGGAATAAAGCGAGACATATCTACTGCAGGACCCTTTTGGATGCTAATGAATCCCAGGCATTCGCACTGTTGATGCGTGGATCGAACACCCTAACGTCACTGCTGTCCTTTTTGCCGGGCTTCCTGGCCAGGAGAGCGGCCACAGCCTTGTGGACGTACTATGGGGCGACATTAATCCATCTGGAAAGCTGCCTTTCACTATTGCTCGGCAGGAGTCGGACTATGGCAGCCATCTGAACTCCAGTGCCTCGGATGACTTCTTCCCTGACAGTAACTTCACCGAAGGCCTGTACATCGATTACCGTTACTTCGATGCACACAATATCACTCCCCGCTATGAGTTTGGCTTTGGCCTCTCATACACCACTTTCAGCTTTGCTGACTTGTCCGTTGAGCTCACGGCTGACGCGGATACATCAGAGTACCCCGATCCCAATGTGTCGATCGTGCAGGGTGGCCATCCATCACTGTGGGAAACCGTTGCAGTTGCAAAGGTGTCTCTCACTAATACCGGTGACGTGGATGGAGCAGAGGTTGCACAGCTGTACATCGGAGTTCCGGGTGACGACACGCCTATTCGACAGCTTCGCGGCTTCTCCCGCGTCTTTCTTTCAAGTGGGCAGACGCAGTCGGTCGCCTTTGAACTCACCAGACGTGATCTTAGCATCTGGGATGTCGAAGCTCAGCAGTGGCGTTTACGCCGAGGAACTTATAACGTGTGGTCTGGATCATCGAGCAGAAACCTGGTTCTGCAGAACACTATTGAGATTAAGTAGCGTACTATAGTTTACTTGGTAATCAGCCCTTGAGGTAATCTTGTCAATAATTCAATGATATGAGTATTTCATCTCATTCTTGCATCGTGTCCTGACTCTTTGTCTGATGATCTCGCTGATAGGAAAGTCTTGCTGCGTCGAGTTCATCTGTTAGGTGTTGACAGGGACGGTACAAAATAATTACATGTATTGGCATGATCAGCAAGCCACATGAATGCCTCGTCCCCTGCATGTCATCGATGCGACGCCACATAGTTTACTGCAGATACAACCCCCCTTAGCCACGTCCGGCCTAAAGTCCCCAGGTAAGTAGATTACACCATGCGCTGACTAAGGCCAACTCATTTCTTTACTCTTCTACCTTCCCTTTCTCATTCTCTTCTTTTCATCACGGCAAGCTTCTGCAAGAGCCCTCCGGCACCACTATAAACACCTCCTACCTCAACATGCCTTCGAAATCATCTCAGATCAATGTAGATGCGGAGATCGTCTATGAATATCATCGAATGCATATGGCTGTCAGTCCTGCTAAGGCCATCTTCTGCCTTTGTAGTCTCGACACACGAGTAGCTACACGCGCAGCACAGCTTTTCCTCGCTGGTTATGG